TTTTTTTTTTTTTTTTTTTTTATGAGGAACTAGTAGGAAATATTAAATAACTCAAATTATTTAGCTAAGAAAAGAAAAATTAAACAAAGGACATGATGAACTTATTAAAGGTCTTAATGAATGTGAATATTAACAGCATTTCTCTTTTTTTTTTAAGAAAATAAAAAGAAAAGATCTAAACCAGTAGGTCATTAATCTGTCCTTTTTATTCAAAGATTAGCTTAACGTCAATTGCAGGGGGGCTTTTAGAGGACATGGAATGGCCTCTAAAAGCAATAAAGCCATCACGACTGGGGATGCCTTCTTGCAATCACACAATCCATAATAGCAATTCTCATTTATGGAGCACTTACTTGATCCCAAGAACTGTACCTAGTATACTATACACATTTTCTCATTCAATTTATGTAGTTGGCATTACAATTTGCATTATAAATAATGTGAAAAAAGGAAGGCTTATGGTCTCATAATTGGTCACTAGATTGGCTGGAATTAAAACAGCCATGTCCTTTAAGCTGTGCTAACTGAATGGACTCTGAGGGCCGAGATGTACCATATTATAATGACATTTTTAGTGACTAGCAAATACACTTATTTGACAGAGTGAGTTCGTTACTAAACTGTTTTTGTCTTATTTTCTGCTGAAATCTGCCTCTCTTTGACTTCCGTTCATTGTTTTCCTGTACTCTATGTTATGTTCACATGTGACCCATCTCCAATAAATTAAGCCTTTCAAATATTTGAAGCCAGCTATCACCTTGCCACATTCCCTTCTTATAACAAGAATAAATATCTCTTTTTTTTTTGGAGACAGAGTTTTGCTCTTGTTGCCCAGGCTGGAGTGCAATGGCGAGATCTCAGCTCACCGCAACCTCCACCTCCCGGGTTCAAACTATTCTCCTGCCTCAGCCTCCTGAGTAGCTGGGATTACAGGCATGCGCCACCATGCCCAGCTAACTTTGTATTTTTAGTGGAGGTGGGGTTTCTCCATGTTGGTCAGGCTGGTCTTGAACTCCTGACCTCAGGTGATCCACCCGCCTTGGCCTCCCAAAGTACTGGGATTACAGGCATGAGCCACCGCGCTCAGCCAGGGATAAATATCTTTAATATGGATGGACTTGGTATTACTTGATAAAGCAATTTCATGTCTGTACTTATCTCAGGATTTCTCATGTGGATCTACTAAGTCAGAAAGGAAGCTATTACATTGCATTTGACAGATGAGGAAACAGCACGGTGAAGTGCTTTTTATTTTTTATTTTAATCTTTAACGTTTCCACTACTTAATGCTGTATTTACTTTCTATAGAGGACAATCTGCAGGGGACAAACTATTTACTGTCACCTGGCATTTCTGTTTCCAGCCACAACTCATATCAGCAAGCTTGTACAAACAATGGCTTGAATTATAAACGCGGTCCTCTCCAACAGCAGTCTGGGGAGGGGGCTGGGGCGATCGCGCCTGCGCACTGGGCGGCCTTTTCACGTGCCGAGGGCCGCACCGCGGGTCTCTCCTTGCCGTGGTGCGCCAGAGCAGAATACGAGTCTGAGGCTGAGGGAGTCATGGCAGGACAGGCGTTTAGAAAGTTTGTCCCACTCTTTGACCGAGTATTGGTTGAAAGGAGTGCTGCTGAAACTGTAACCAAAGGAGGCAGTATGCTTCCAGAGAAATCTCAAGGAGAACGATTGCAAGCAACAGTAGTCGCTGTTGGATCGGGTTCTAAAGGAAAGGGTGGAGAGGTTCAACCAGTTAGCGTGAAAGTTGGAGATAAAGTTCTTCTCCCAGAATATGGAGGCACCAAAGTAGTTCTAGATGACAAGGATTATCTCTTATTTAGAGATGGTGACATTCTTGGAAAGTACGTAGACCGAAATAAGTCACTATTGAAATGGCATCAATGTGAAGCTGCCCATTCCACTGAAGTTCTGAAATCTTTCATCATGTAAATAATTTCCATATCTCTTTTATAATAAACTAATGATAACTGATGACACTTAGTGTCTCCAAAATTGTTTCCTTGTACTGATACAAACATTTCCAAATAAAAATATGTAAACAACAACAACAAAAGCAGAGTCTGCTAAATTTCAAGCACCTCATTTACCTTCCTGGGAGCACCCCATAAGAGAATGTGCTGCTTCTTTTCATCCTCCTCTTCTTCCATCTTTTCTTTCCTTCAGTCTTGTACTGTAATCTGGAGTTTGGCATAGTAATATAGGTTAGCTTTCAGGAAGATAAATACCGTATCTCACATGAGAGTTTTAAAATATTTTCTGCTGAAAATTTTTTGTTGATTCTAGGGTTGTTGTGTTATGGGTAATGGGCAAATAAAGTACCACTTTGGTATTTCAAAAATTACTAAAATATAGTAAGTTTGAGGAAATGTCTATTTAATTAGATTCGGCAACACACCAGTGCAAGAAAGACTCAGCTGCCTGGCCAAGGACAACTCTATCTATGTCGTGGCTAATATTGGGGACAAGAAGCCATGCAATGCCAGTGACCCTCAGTGTCCCCCCGATGGCCGTTACCAATACAACACTGATGTGGTGTTTGATTCTCAGGGAAAATTGGTGGCGCGCTACCATAAGGTGAGAATCGCTTGTGCCTTAGCTCAACTTGTTACTTCTGTGTGCTTGTGCTTGTATGTGTGTGTGTTTGTTGAATGCTGGGGAGGGAACTGTTACAGATGCATCTTATAATTATTACATCATAGTTGAAAAGGGGACTTAATTCAGTTCCATATAAGGGTTCTGGGCTTGAATTAATCATAAAACTGAATATGGTAGAATATCTAAATGGATGTGACAATAACGACACAAAGATTTTAATGTTCTCTGAAAAAGAAGTAAAAATTCTGTTTCATTCATGATTTAATATCAGGTTCATGTTTTAGCCCAATTTGTTAGCACTTCATATTAAGTGACCATATATTCTGTTAGAATTGTTTTGATTGCAATGGAAACACAACCTCAACTGAAGATGGCTTTAAAAAGATGGGAATTTCCTTGCTTACACACATGTAAAATGGTGTATCATAGAAAGGGTATGTCTCATTTCAGTGGAGTCTGACACTCAGAGCCTCCAAAGTTATCATCCATCCCTCTAGCTCTCCTAGCCCCTTGTTACAGCTTTTTTCTCAGGGGAACTCGCCTTTTAGAGGCCACATAGCTGGAGCAACACGAAGTTCACATTTTTATCAACAAAATCTACAGTAAGAGTGTATTTCTCCCTCCTAGAACTCTGCAAAGGCCTTATCACTTCTTAATTCAATTAGGTGACATGCCTTTCCTGAGCCATTCACCAAAGGATGAAGGATGGGCTGCCACATGAGAGGAGAATGGAGTGGCAAGAGACCTCCAGGGACCACAGGGGTGGGGAGTAGCTTTCGCCAGAGCACACGCAGGCACACAACAGGCCAAACAAAAACCCAAGCAAAACATATGCTGTACTCGTGAGCCCAGGTGAAGCGGTGTTTTAAAAAAAGAATCAAGCTGAAAAAAATAAAATGACAAATGGGTTACTAATTAATAATATGTAGCAATTGCATTGTCTAAATTAATTTTCAATGGACTTCACTTCTATAAACCTGGCAGTATCACTGGGAGACATGACAAAGTTTATTTTATTAACATGGTAGTGCTGTTGAAATTTAAAGAATACAGTGGAAAACAATCTGAGAAGTGTAGGATTCAAGATTTCAACTTGTGATTTTAAGACAGAAATATTCACACTTTAAATATCATTTGTGGATGTGGTTTCACTCATTGGTTGTAAAAAAATAAAATGAAGTTTTTTGATTAATGTTACCATAAGAGAATTGATAGACAGTAGAGTGGGCATGATTTTTGCAAATTTATGTGTAACAATTTATTTTGTTCTTGTTATTTTTGTTGTTGTTTTTGGAGATGGAATCTCACTCTGTTGCCCAGGCTGGAGTGCAGTGGTGTGATCTTGGCTAATTGCAACCTCCGCCTCTGGGGTTCAGGGAATCTTCTTGCCTCAGCTTCCAAGTAGCTGGGATTACAGGCGTACGTACCACCATGACTGGCTAATTTTTTTTTTTTTTTTTTTTTTTTGGTATTTGTAGTAGAGACAGGGTTTCACCACATTGGCCAGTCTGGTCTCGAACTCCTGACCTCAAGTGATCCACTTACCACAGCCTCCTAAAGTACTGGGATTACAGATGTAAGCCATTGCACCTGGCCTATGTGTAACAGTTTTAAACATGCATGTCAACATACATGGGAGGAAAGATTTAATGGGGACTTAACTGATCACATCTATCTGGCAGTTTTCTGTTAATTTTCTTCTTCTTTGCTTTTTGTTAACAGTACAATCTTTTTGCACCTGAAATTCAATATGATTTCCCGAAGGATTCAGAATTTGTGACTTTTGACACTCCCTTTGGGAAGTTTGGCATTTTTACTTGCTTTGACATTTTTTCTTATGACCCAGCTGTGGTGGTGGTGGATGAGTTTCAAGTTGACAGCATTGTCTACCCCACAGCATGGTACAATACGCTGCCCCTCCTCTCGGCTGTTCCCTTCCATTCAGCATGGGCCAAGGCCATGGGAGTCAATCTGCTTGCCGCAAATACCCACAACACCAGCATGCACATGACAGGTAACTCACGCCGGTGTGCACCAAGTGGGAGCGACGGTCTTAGGAAGGCGTCTTGATTTGCAAGCCACATTTTTGTTTAATAACTTTATTACCAATTTTAACATCACAAAGTTAATAATAGTATTTGTTTCTACTTAAGGAATATCATCCCTGTGAATAAAGGAAGCAAACATTATTATCTCAATTTTACTTGAAAGAAAAAAAAAGAAAAAAAAAAAGAAAAAAAAAAAATCAAAGCCAGTTCTAAGGAACTTCCTAGCCAATATGCATGAGTAATGTCAAAAATAAATCTTGTGGTTCAGAGTAAACAGATAACCTAGGGAGCAGAAGAAAATATTTACAAACTATGCATCTCATAAAAGTCTAATATCCAGAATCCATAAGGAACTTAAATCAACAAACAAAAACAAAGTATCCCATTAAAAAATGAACAAAGGACATGAACAGACACTTCTCAAAAGACGACATGCATGTGGCCAACAAGCATGTAAAAATGCTCAACATCACTGATCATTAGAGAAATGCAAGTCAAAGCCACAATGAGATACCACCTCACACCAGTCAGAATGGGTATGATTAAAAAATTTAAAAAACATACAAACAGATGCTGGTGAGGTTATGAAGAAAAGGGAATGCTTATACACTGTTGGTGAAAATGTAAATTAGTTCAGCCACAGTGGAAAACAGTTTGGAGATTTCTCAGAGAACTTAAAACAGAACTGCCATTTGACCCAGCCATCCCATTAATAGGTATATACCTGAGGGAATATAAATCATTCTACCATAAAGCCACATTCACTTGTATGTTAATTGCAGCACTTTTCACAATAGCAAAGGCATGGAATCAACCCAGGTGCTCACCAACAGTGAAATGGATAAAGAAAATGTGATACATATACACCATGGAATACTACCATGGAATATAGCCATAAGAAAGAATGAAATAATGTCCTTTGCAAAACATGGATGCAACTGGAGGTCATTATCCTCAGGAACAGAAAATGAAATTCCACATGTTCCCACTTACAAGTTGAAGTTAAACATTGAGTACACATGGACACAAAGACAGGAACAGTAGACACCAGGGCTTACTTGAGAGTGGAGGGTGGGCGGAGGGTGATGACTGAAAAACTACCTGTTGGATACTGTGCTCACTGCTCGGGTGACAAACCCAGCAACCTACAATTTACCCATGTAACAAACCTTCACATGTTCCCCTTCTAAACCTACAATATAAGTTGGAAGAAAAAAATACAAATAAATAAAAATATTTCAAGCATAAAAAAAGCTGAAGTGATAAAAATCACTTTTGACTTAATCAGGTTTTTAGCGTTTATCCTTTGTAATATCCATGTCCAAAGTAATGCAAGCTTCCTTCTTAACTGCTCTGTCATCTGTTGAATAACAAACCCCAAACACAAAGAAATTAAATCGTCAGTGGAGAGCTAAAATTATTCTTCATGTTGGGGGGATTTTCTAGTTTGTTGCTAAGTTAGCTTAAAACTATGCGCCTTCATGTCAAATGATAATGTCAGTGCAAGTAGTGTGTCAGTGCAAGTCTGTGTCCTCATGTGTACCTTATGGAGGACGCAGAGATTGGAACTTACGCCAATATAACAGCTATCTCCTTAACTATCTTGAAAATATGCTTTAATAACTTTGTATTTAACTTCACATGGGAATATTCTACTAGTTGGTCACCATAACAAATCCGAAACCAATGTTTGTGTTTCTTTATGTTGCCTGTAGGGAGTGGACTTTACGCCCCAGACGCAGTCAAGGGGTACCACTACGACATGGAAACAGAGAGTGGTCAGCTGATGCTATCAGAATTGAAGTCTCGGCCTCGCCGTGAGCCCACCTACCCTGTAGCTGTTGACTGGCATGCTTATGCCAGCAGTGTCAAGCCTTTCTCCTCTGAGCAGTCAGATTTTCCAGGGATGATTTATTTTGATGAGTTTACCTTCACTGAGCTTCAAAGAAATACAGGAAATTACACAGTTTGCCAGAAAGACCTGTGCTGTCACTTAACTTACAAGATGTCTGAGAAGCGAACAGATGAAGTCTATGCCCTAGGTGCTTTTGATGGACTGCACACGGTAGAAGGCCAATATTACTTACAGGTAGAAATGCTTAAATATGTTAGAGTGGCCTTATTATTAGTTTTTCTTCTAGGTCATCATTGCTTTTCTTTGAAAGTTTGGCTGGATTTAGCTAACTGGTGTAATGTTAACTCGATCACCGAATTTTGTCCGCAGAGCACTTTATTTATTCAGTCTCAGCAAGAACAGAATTAGTGCTTTCAGTTGCAAGGCAAAAACATAAAGCAAATTGATTAGTTCTCAGCAGGCCAGGTTCAGGTTTCAAAAGTTGCAACTTCTGTGCATTCTCTTTTTCCATCAGGTTACGTTAGAGCAGTGCTTTTTTCAAATTGACCTCAACTAAATCCAGAGGAAGAAGGATACTTTACACCATAACCCAGTGTAGCCAAGTGGATATGTGACTGAATTTTAAAAAATTTAATTGAAACAGTTTATGAAATAATTTAAAATGGAATGAAAAATAGCTATTATTATGGGCCATGCACTCTGATTTTTAAAATTCTAGTCTATTCTATTTGACTTCCTTTAAAAAAGTGTTAATCCTGATCCACTAAATTGATTTTACGATTCACTAATAAGTTGTTACCTATGGTGTGAAAAATACTTCTTATGAGGCAATTTAAATATTCCTTTATTCTTTGAAGTTGCATTATTTAGCTGAGAAAATATTTGCAAGTTTTCTGACTCCTTTTCTTTTCTGTTCTTTCATAGATATGCACATTACTGAAGTGTCAAACCACCGACCTCGAAACATGTGGAGAGCCTGTGGGTTCAGCTTTTACCAAGTTTGAAGAATTCTCCCTCAGTGGCACATTCAGAACGCGTTATGTTTTCCCACAGATCACTCTAAGTGTAAATCAGCTTGCCCCTGAAAGACATTATGAGGTAGGAGGTGTGCAGGATGATAAATTCCTTTGAGCAGAGCAGATGGGTAGAGCGGCGTAATGAAAATCTTTGAAATAATTAGAGTATAGCAATATCGTTGTTCACATTCTACAAGAAACACTTTAAAGATGTGGAAACTATGATATGGAACACAAGTTGTGGTTTTATTTTTATTTTTTTGAGAAAGAGTTTTGCTCTTGTTTCCCAGGCTGGATTGCAATGGCATGATCTCAGCTCTCTGTAATCTCTGCCTCCTGGGTTCAAGTGATTCTCCTGACTTAGCCTCCCAAGTAGCTGGGATTTCAGGCATGCACCACCATGCATAGCCAATTTTGTATTCTTAGTTAAGATAGGTTTCACCATATGAGTCAGGCTGATCTCGAACTCCTGACCTCAGGTGATCCACCCACCTCAGCCTCCAACGTGTTGGGATTACAGGCATGAGCCACTGTGCCCAGCTCAAGTTGTGGTTTTAGACTGCCATTAAGCTGGATGAAGAATTTGGGGTTCATTTTTTTTAACATAAATGTGATGCTGATATTCAAGGTAACAGTGAATTCACAGAGAAACTAAAATAAAAATATCGGTTGCTGATAATGGCAATAATGTTGTCATTTGCATGGTGTAGAAGGTGCAAATTAAATACATTAAATAATGCATCTACAGCTTATTTCCTGGGTATGCTACTTTGAGAAGTTATTATAATTATAGTAATAACTAATACTTTGTATAGTGTTTCATGGGTTTGAAGAACACTTTTTTATACATGGTCTTACTTGACCGCCTGTGTAAGAAATTTGTTTGCTGCATTTTCACGCAAAGTCTCTCTACTTTCAGACTTGAAACATGAACCTGGGTCTTCCAACACCAAATCCTGCGTGATTTTTTCCATTCTACACTGCTTTAGGAGTGATCTTGTCAGAGAAGGGCTCTAGGTTGTAACCTGAACTCTGCATTGAAGTTAATCCTTTGCTTTCTTTGACCAGATTTCAAGAGATGGACGCCTGAGGAGCCGAAGAGGAGCCCCTTTGCCTGTCTTAGTCATGGCTCTGTATGGAAGAGTCTTTGAGAAGGACCCTCCACGCTTAGGGCAGGGACCTGGGAAGTTACAGTGATCTCCTTTAGCAGGGCCCTTTCAGGATTAGCCTGGCTAAGAAAGGAAGAAAAAAGAGACCTGTTAGTGTCTGTTTAGAAGAGATGTCATAAACTTATGGAAACAAATATAATAAACTTAAGCAGATTTAAAAAGCAATGAGTGTGTGTGCAAATTTTACATTTTACGTATTTGGTATAGCACAGCTTCATTTGCGGGAGCTGCGTTCATCCTCCAGGTATGTAAGTTTAACTATATGTATGTATGCATATGTATAGTGGAACATATATTTAAATAGGAGGACTGCCTAGAAAAATCCTTTTGCAGTAACTACGCTAATGTAGGCAAGTGTTGTTGACATCATATGATGGTTAATTTTATGTGTTGATTTGACTGGGTCATGAGATGCCCAGATAGCTGGTTAACCATTGTTTCTGGGTGCGTCTGTGAGGGTGCTTTAAGGAAGAGAATAGCATTTGATTTGGGGGACTAAGTAAAGCAGATGGTCCTCCTCAATGTGGATGGGCTTCGTCCAGTCCCTTGATGGCCTGCAGCGAAAAACAAGAAGGAGGAGGTTTGAATTCATTTTCTGCCAGACTACTTGAGCTGGACAGAGCTCTTCCCCTGCCTTCATGGGCTCCTGGTTCCCAGGCCTTCAAGCCTGCACGGGAAGCAACACCATCAACTCTTCCCCTCTCAGGCCTTCCAATGACACTCTTGGCATTCCTGCATCTCCAGCTTGCAAATGGCAGACCAGCTTTCATAACTGTCTGAGCCAATACCTTATTATAAATCTCTCTCTCTCTCTCTCTCCTATTGGTTCTGTTTCTCTGGAGAACACTGACTAATACACCTCATTTGTAAATAGGATGAACTTTGAATATGCAAAGGATATTAGATTCTAGTCAATTAAGATATAGGAAGTTAAAGAATAAGGACACGTTTGTCTGGGTCCCAACTCCTGGAGGGAGAAATGTAAGAGTAGACAGTCAGATATGAGCAGACATGAGGGGGAGGTATTCATGTTGGAAAGAACCCCCCAGAACACCTCTTAGGATGCCCAGTACTCACTTCATGGTTGAACTGTCAGAATGCTGTTAACTAGATCCTGATAAGGAAGGAAAGAGGCAAAAGGGGAATTCCTGAGAGCTGATCAGGCACAATTAGCACAAAATTGACTGCTATACCTTCCCCTGGTGGTGGTAAGAAGCAGTGCCACCATTAGATAGGATTCGTATTGATCACTGGTTCCCGTGCATGTGTATTAAACACTGTAAGGGAGGATCCCCCAAAGTTTGGTGAGAACTGGGTAAAGAAAGAACGGAGGCAATAGAAGATCACAAGGTACAATGTCTTCGGCATGTTTCCAGCAGGGTCAGCCCACTGCTCTCTCTTGGAATGTACTTGTATTTCCCCAATAAAACTTTTGCTTGCTTTGAAAAAAAAGAAGAAGGACATCTTTTGAAGTATCTAGGAACAACTTTTCAGCTAATTAAAATGGTTGTATTGTCTCTTTAGTCATAACTTATTTGACTCTTGCATTCTATTTGTATGGAAATCCGATACTTAAAATGGATTTTTTTTTTTTTAAAGATGGACTCTCACTCTGTTGCCCAGGCTGGAGTGCAGTGGCATGATCTTGGCTCACTGCAACCTCTGCCTCCTGGGTTCAAGTGGTTCTCCTGCCTCAGCCTCCCCAGTAGCTGGGGCTACAGGCCTGCACCACCACACCCAGATAATTTTTTATATTTTTGGTAGGGACAGGCTTTCACCATGTTGTCTAGGCTGGTCTCGAACTCCTGACCTCAAGTGATCTACTCGCCTCGGCATCCCAAAGTTCTGGAATTAGAGGCGTGAGCAACCTCACCTGGCCAAAACAGAAATTTACAAAAATAATAAATTATGTTGGTCGGGTGCTGTGACTCACACCTCTAATCCCAGCACTTTGGGAGGCTGAGGCAGGTGGATCACCTGAAGTCAGGAGATCGAGACCAGCCTGGCCAACATGGTGCAACCCTGTCTCTACTAAAAATAGAAAAATCAGCTGGGCGTGGTGGCGGGTGCTTATAATCCCAGCTACTTGGGAGGCTGGGACAGAAGAATCACCTGAACCCGAGAGGCAGAGGTTGCAGTGAGCTGAGACTGCACCACTGCATTCCAGCCTAGGCAAGAAGAGCAAAACTCCCTCTCAAAAAAATAAGTAAAATTAAATAAATTATGTCGTTCAGATCACATCTCATTTCCTTCTGAAATTATTCTGTTCTAAAATCTAGCCAATCTTGGTTGAGCCCCTCTCAGTTGTCAGGGGTTTATTGCAGGCCATGCCATGCTGGGAGCTTCCTAGACAGGGCCACTGTGTCGCCTTTTCTCCATTTACCTTTGGCCCACTGTCCTGGCTCTCTCAGTCATTTTTCTGTTTGGTCACTGATTAACTCTGGAAAGAGACACACTGAAGAGCAGGTGGGTTCTCTGGGTTAGTAGGAGATACCTCTTATGCCCACAGAATGCATGACAGCGGCATTTCTGGACTTTTCCTAGGTGTTTATTTCCACCTACTATAATTCAGTCCATTACCAGGAAGTCAGAGATATTCTGGGCAGCAGAAAATGCACTTGCTTTCTCCGTTCCATCTTTCCTGGATTCTCTCTTCAGGGGCTATCACACTCAGATCTTAGGTTTGTGCCCCCAATTCCTCTGTGCGCAGGAGGTGGGCATCGTCCCCCTCTATCACCTCACATTGGCTCCTTCTGGACTTCTTTCTTCTCTTTCCTAGCCAGTCGTCTGGAGCCTGTGTTATGCGCGCTGATAGCTCCAGCTTCCTCAGAACTTCTCACCTCATGCATTTCTATGTAAGCTGACTCCTGCCTCCTCTTTATTAAAAGGAACTTTAAACTAAAGTCTCAGGCCAGGCCACAATGACTCACACCTGTAATCTCAGCACTTTGGAAGGCCAACGTGGGCAGACGGCTTGAGCCAAGGAGTTTGAGACCAGCCTGGACAACATGTTGAAAACTTGACTCTACAGACGACAACAACAGCAACAAATTAGCCGAGTGTGGTGGTATGCGCTTGTGATCCCAGCTACTCAGGAGGCTGGGGTGGGAGGATCACTTGAGCTCAGGAGGTAGAGGCTGCAGTGAGCCAAGATTGTACCACTGCACTCCAGCCTGGGCAACAGAGCGAGACCTTGTCTAAAAGAAAAAAGAAAGGAAGAAAAAAGTGAAATCTCATGGTCATTTCTCAGCTCTTCCTAAGCCTGTGCTTCTTGGAGTTATTTTGCCCCCCCACATTTTAATACAGTTCGTTTTTTATTATTTTTGTTATTATTATTTTTTTTTGAGATGGAGTTTCGCTGTTGTTGCCCAGACTGGAGTGCAATGGCACGATCTCAGCTCACCGCAACCTCCACCTCCTGGGTTCAGGCAATTCTCCTGCCTCAGCCTCCCGAGTAGCTGGGACTATAGGCACGCACCATCATGCCCAGCTAATTTTTGTATTTTTAGTAGAGACGAGGTTTCACCTTGTTGACCAGGATGGTCTCGATCTCTTGACCTCGTGATCCACCCTCCTGGGCCTCCCAAAGTGCTGGGATTATAGGCGTGAGCCACCGCGCCCGGCCCGCTTTTTATTATTATTATTTTTTACCTTTTGTCTCTTTTTCCCTTCCCCAGCCACACTTACTTTGTTTATCATTGACATAAATGATGCACTCTGCTAGTTTCGGCTCTCACATCTGTATCTTCCTCATCTAAAATCTTTCTACGGAGAGTGAAGTTACTCGTATGGCTTTAATTAATATTTCTGATACAGCAAAGTATAACTCACTGGTAAGCAAAACAGTTTTTTCTTTCCTGAGAGCAAGTTCAAGCCATATAGTAATGTTTACAGGTGGGAGAGATCCAAGACGGCGGATTAGACACAACTCCAGTGCACAACACTTGGCACACCCAGCAAGAGAGACACAGAAATCCAGGGATCTCCTAGCTCCAACCAAGGTACCAGGTGCATTTCAACGGGTCTGGTCTGATGGTGAGCAAAGCCCATTCGGGGCAGACCGAGAAAGGGTGGGGTGCTGCTTCACCCAGAAAGTGCATCTGACCAGCAAGTCAGAGGCTCCCCTCTGGCACTCCAGTCCAGATACAGCGCTTCCCCCAAAGCCTCAGCAATACACAGAACAGGGGATCTTTGCCAGTCAAGCCCCGGGAATCACAAGCGCGGAGTTGAATAAGAGCCTGCGGACTGAGCTATCGCCTCCTCCCTCCACCTGGAGAGAGAGGAAGCTGTAAATGGGAGCAGCTGGGCGGGCCCTATAATGTTTACAGGCTACATTCACAATGAAAAAATAGTTTGATTAAGCCCTATGCAAACTTATGTATTCTTGTAACATTAACAACTTGTGATATTGTAGTTCCTGGTTTTTAACTCCCAATCCTTTGTTATATTCTTTTTTTAAAAATAACATGGTGGGGGATTTAGGCCTCAGGAGCAGGCCTCATGAAACAGAATCTCCCTCTCTGACCTTCCCCTGCCCTCCCTTCACCTGCCTAAGGCAGGACTCTAATCTGATTGTGGCTCAAAAGACCCTCATTCCAGAGAGGGTCCCACCCCATACCCTAGAGGAAGGAATGCTGCAGAGAGGTGTCAAGGCAAACCTGAACAGACGAGCTTTTACTGGGTTTCACCTCTCAGGCCCTTTTTGTCCAGTCACATTTCTACATGGTTGTCAATTGTGATTATGTAATGAAGCTTCCATAAAAACCCAAAAGGTTTGGGTTCGGAGAGTTTCCTTCCAGCTGAACACGCGGAGGCTCCTGGAGGGTGGCACATCTAGGGGGTGCATGCAAGGCTTCCCAGTCCTTCCCCCATACCTCGCTCTATGCACCTCTTCATTTGTGTCCTTTGCAAATATCCTTTATTATAAGCCACTAAACGTAAGTGTTTCCCTGAGTCTGTGAGCCACTCTAGCAAATTAATTGAGCCCAAAGAAGGGGTCACGGCAACCCCAACCCAGAGCCATTTGGTCGGAAGATCTGGAGGCCCAGACTTGTTCCTGGTGGGAAGAAGAGGGCGGTTTTGTGGGACGCAGCCCTTAATCTGTGGGATCTGATGCTGTATTTGGATAAATAGTGTTTGGATTGAACTGGAAGACAGCCAGCTGT